TATAGATGTGCACATGCCTCGATTTACTGGCGATTACTTTTTGACCACATAAATATACAAGTAATCACTTAAGTATCAATCCTCATATGTATCCAACAATTTCATTTAATATCCCTTTAATTTCTGTACCTCCATTTTCACAGTGAATCTCTCCATAGCGGATGCCATGGTCTCCAGTCTCAATGTTACCTTCAATTACATTTACATGCTGGACAATGATTGGCCTTTCGGTGAGCTCTACTGCAAAATATCACAATTTGTAGCGACTTTAAGCATAAGTGCTTCAGTGTTTACGCTAATGGCGATAGCCATCGACAGGTGAGTTAACAAACCATGGTGAAGCGCAGTTGCAGCGTCAAAGTGTTACACAAATAGCATTAAATCTCCTCCAATGCTGAATAATCATATATGTGCATGTACACATGTGTGTGCTTATGTGGGACCAAGTCCAGCAGCACAATGTACTGTAGCAGTTTTGTGGCAGCACTTTGGTGCTATATGTTAACATGCACATACAAACTGAAATTTCTGAACATTTATATAAATTCTCTTTTATCAACATCTTCTCCCTTCCATTTTCTATCGCTTTGTTACATTTCAGATATGTGGCCATAATAAAACCATTGCAACCGCGTATGAGCAAACGTTGTAATTTGGCTATTGCAGCGTTTATTTGGGCTGCATCTATTACCCTCTCGTGCCCCATGTTGCTCTTTTTCACAACCGGCGAAGTAGAGCTGAAGGATGGCATAAGAATTGTCTGTTACACCGAATGGCCGGATGGTCCGACGAATCACTCGCAGCAGGAATATGTGTAAGTAGCATATGAACTTTGCATTGGACTATGTTGAGAACTCATAAAAATAAGCAACGGATTCACTGGATGTCATAACTGTCATATTTTATAATGTTATAAACTGTGCAATTCAAATTTTTTTTTTTTTTGTTTAGAGCGAAAAAATGAAGATAAGGATAAATATGAAGATGAGGATAGTGATAGAGATAGAGATAGAGATAGAGATAGAGATAGAGATAGAGATAGAGATAG